GAGGACCCCAGACGAAGCAGCGCGGAGACTGCGCCCGCCTGAGATGGAAGGGACTCGGGGCGCAGGCGCGCTGGGGGGGGGGGCCAACACGGGAGCACACGCGAGGGGACCCACGCATGCAGTGTGAGCTCAGGGACGCGCGGCGCCCAAGAGGAGCCCTGCTTCAGTCTCCACTATTGTTGTTTTTACAGCCTCCCGGTGGCCTAGAAGGGCAGCGTCGTATTTAAGGAGACTCGCAGGAAGAGGGGGGCTCCATACCACAGCGAGGAAGACCCGAAACACCCGCAACAGAGGCCTGGGGTTCTGAGCCAAAAACAAAACTGAACTGAACGAGCCCAGCGTTCCCTGGCAGCCAAAGCGAAAAGGGGAACTCTGCAGGTTGCACCGGGGAAGACGGTCGGGGAGGCTCGGGAAGGGCCAGGAGGGGAGGGCCATGGGCCCAGCAGGGGCTCTGCAGCAGCTCAGAGGCTGCTCCTCCCAGAGTGCAGGCCCCTGACCCTCTGCTGTGGCGCCTGTTACGTGGCCCCAAGACGCCAGCCGGGCCTGGGGCCCTGTCCTCCCAGCACCTGGCGAGCCAGCCACGCAGTGTCGGGCTCGGGTGTGCTCGCTCCTGTGCGGCAGCCTTGTCGCCGCTTGCCAGGAGGGGGGCTAGGTGGCCCTGGGCTCTCCCCTCTCCTGCCTCCTACAGGAGACAGAAGCAGCCGCAGGCCTGGGGTGGGCTGGCGGGGCTCCGGCTGGCCACAAAGTCCCAGGAGTCAGGCAGGCGGGGTTTCCGAGCCCGCGTCTAACAAGCCGCACTGCAGGAGTTTAGCGTTAGCTCCAACACTGCACACACCCTGTCTCTGAGGACGCCCCTGGGAGGGGGGCCCTCCTCATCTCCAGGACCCGGCCCCTCCGGCCCCCCCCACGTTGCAGGGTGACCCCAGGAGCCCATGTGGTGGCCCAGAGGGCCTGAGCGGTTCACGTGGAGAGGAAGAGGCAGGCCTGTCCTCCTCAAACCAGACGAGAAACCAAACACCTTAACGCCAGTGCCGAGCGCCAGCGCCCTGTGCCGAGGGTCCCGACTGACGGCCTGTCACTTCCTAACTGAACTGAGGGCACTCGTGGGCCCCTCACAGAGGGAGGCAGTGACCCCAGGGGCCGACAGGGACCCGGGTGCAGGGCTGTAGCGGCTCCCACACGTCCCCACCCAGCCCTGAGCGAGCCCTCCTGAGGCCGGCTGCCGTGGGCACTGCGGTTCACGGGTTACCCCCACCCCGCCGGGACAGGGGCCGCGGCCGTGCCGGGCGGCATCACGCGGCTCCAGTCACAGAGGACGGGCACTGTGCTCTGGAGAAAGTGGGCGTGGACTGCATTTCTGTGCGCCCTCAGTACGTGTATCTTAATTCCATCTTTCCACAAACTTCTATTTGAGAGATGGAGGGAAGGAGAGGAGAGATCTTGCGTCTGCTGGCGCACTTCCCAAACACCTGGGACCACCGAGCCTGGGCGGGGGCCAACGCAGAGCTGGGACCCAATCCAGGTCTCCCATGTGGGCGGCAGGGACCCAAGGACTTGAGTAACACTGCTGCCTCCCAGGGCCTGCAGTCAGGAGCCGCAGCTGGGAACTGAACTCAGATCCTCAGGTGTGGGATGTGAGCGCCTCAACCCCTGGGCTAAATGCCCACCTCGACAAACACTGTGGAGCCCCTGGGCGGCAAGCTGAGGCTGTTGGACTGGTGATGTTACCATCCACAGCGAGGGGCTGGTGCTGTGGCTCAGCAGGTTAAAGGCCCAGCCCGCAGTGCCGGCATCCCACGTGGGTGCCTGTTTGAGTCCCGGCTGCTCCTCTTCTGATCCAGCTCCCTGCTAACGTGCCTGGGAAAGCAGTGGAGGACGGCCCGTGTTCAGGCCCCTGCGCCCATGTGGAGACCCGGAAGAAGCTCCTGGCTTCGTTCTGGCTCACTCCTGGCTGTTGCAGCCATTTGGGGAGTGAATCAGCAGGTGGAAGATCTCTCTCTGCCTCTCAAACAAATAAATAAAT